CATAACAAGAAATGTCGGTTAAAACTAAGATAAAACTATCATTTTGTAAATTCCTAACACGATTTACACAACGCGGTCTCTTATTCAAATCAGATCGTGTTTACACGATAGCGACACTTGAAATTAGCCAACACCTAACTTTAGCTTCTTCTCAAATTATCACATTTCCTTTGGCTGCCAAATAAAATTTTGTGATAGGGTGGATCTAAATTTAAAACTCTTGCCATTATCAGGAAAAAAGTCAAAACAGACAGGTTGCAGTGCTCTCTAGCATTTGCGATAAACATGTACATATTGTTGTTGCCATTTTTAGCTGTTACAGGCATCAACTTAATAAAAGGCCAGTCTTCTTAAACACTTAACCTATAACCTAACTCAAGTAGCGACAGTCGGTGACATTTAAGATATTCACTTGGATATTAAAAAAAGAGCCTTTATATGTTTAAGTGTGGCTCTTTGTATTGTTCTTGAACAAGATCTTGATCAAGATCGGAACACGGCCGACAACAAATATCGCGGCCTCCCACTGCTTTTACCTCAAGCCCTGTTCAAGCGATCATAGATTTATGCTAAATATGTGTATGATGATCTCCAGATTTGGTGGATTTTGTTGTGGGTCCCCGTCAATCTGATTAAAACACAGATCCAATTTCGTTTCGTTTTTATAGTTCAAAATTTCGATTTTACTTGTCTTCACTACACTTGGATCTGGAAGCCTTGTTATTTAACTCGTGTTCTGCTTGAAATGAGGGGTCAGCCAATCAAATGGTCTGTCGAATCGAGCATTTGACCTTTTTTTGCGCGGAACTGTGGGTAGACATTAGTGGCAATAGAAATCAAAACAAAGCAAAGGTAGATAAAAAAAAATACATGGCGGTCGCTAATTGGTTAATCGCGAACATGTTAATGACATACACCATTGCTTAAAAATGGGGTCCGTTGGTACCCTCTAGGGTAATGCAGCTGCACTAGTCAAAATATCATTGGTATATCGGAGAGGACAAAAGTATGTTACATGATCGGCATCTGTAACCTTGACCTCTGTACACCTTGGGATTGGTTAATGTCTTGAAATCCTGTAATTATTTGTTTGGAAGATAAAACCTGCAGCTAAAGTTTAAACATCATCATACAATTTTGACGATGGGAAAACAGATCATGCAAATGTATTATCTGTTTTGAACAAATGTGTGACCGTGTAAACGGGGTTTTAATACAAGTTTGATGGAAAACAGAGCTCAGACGATCATATATAACTGTAATTATGTTTTGAACAAATGTGTGATGGTGTAAACGGGGCTTTAGAGTAAGGTGATCTGTTATATGTTTATAAGTGTATATTTAGAAAACAATGAATTGTTATACAAGACTTCTGTTTTGTGTAAATGTTCACCTTAATGTCATGTAAGTTTGTGTAGAACATTCACTGATAAGCACGCTGAATATTTGCACGAATTTATGTAGCACCGATTGTGATCGAATTTACCCTGTGAGCTAAAGAAATAAAATCAAATCTAGTCATCTGCTTATGTCCCGAAGTCGAAGTTACCTCTGTTGTAACTTCTGAAAACGATGAATCGATTGGCTATTTGTTGAGACATTAGTTCATAAGTTTAATTCATTGGTCAGTTATCATCCTAGGGATTACGTCATCTTATCATGAAAAAGATTTTTTGGAATCGGTCGAAACGTACACCAACTGAATACTAAAAACGGTGTAATAAAGGGTCTTCTATGAAGAACGAGATGCTTACCTTTGTTTAGAGCTGAAATAAAATGAAATGATGTTTAACGTCCCACTTTTCTGCACCGAATGGGCTAATGGGGGTGGGATAATTAGAGCTTCTACTCCATTCATTTTTACTCCCAGTTCTGTTCTTAAAACAGCTTGTGTACCCAAGAGGGTTACCGAGTACAGGTTGTTGAATTGGCCCAGATCTGTAGTTAAAATGTCATCATTCAGTATAGAATTGTTTCCATTCCACGAGTATATCTTTATATAATGTCTTATTTCAAGATTAGAACAGTCTATATAATGAGTAATTAGGATAGATGTATTTATATATTAGCTTTAAGAAGGATCGGCTAATTCTAGAACATATCAAATATATAATCATAAATCAGTGTCGAGCTGTGTAATTTATCGCCGACTACGACTCCGTCTACAAGTAAGACACGGGTTGTATCTATAAGGTTAAGTGCCCCGTATGCCGCGCCCTTTAACCCTCCAACCACTTATAAAGTACTTGCCTCGTTATTATCTTGACCATGGTATGGTACAGACGATTGCCAGACGGTCAGTATCAGAGATAACTCTACTCGGTTGTCGTACTTGATTCATGAGTATGTACCTACTCTAGTAAACATTACATTAGTTTTCAGATCAAGCGATTGCAAAAAAAAAGGAAAAAGAAAAAAAAAGAATCTAGAAATAAAATGCCCCATACAATGAAGATTCACGTCGTTAAAAGTATCCTATTCAGATCGTGTATTTTTCATACAATAACTAAGACTCAATCCACGTTAAAATGTACTCGATTTAATTAAGAGAGAGAAATGGGTTTAACGTCCACTTGACATAAACTAGGTCATTTCGGGACTAACATATGGTCCAAATTTATTTGAATAATTCCCTTGCGCGTAGAGGCCTCTAGCAGCTGGGGGGTTCAGAGAAAACACATGAGGTTGGACAGGCGACCCTACCCCTTGTCACGTACAAGCGGGGAGTCGAAACTACACCACTTGACTCAATGACAGACCTTATGATTCAAGGCGCACTCGTTACCCCCCCCCCCCCCCCACACACACACACCTGATTTTATTAACAAAACAAAACCAAAATATTAACGAGAGATAATCTCTCCGCTTGGATTCAGTTGAATTAAAAAGATGTCCATCAAACGATTTAACCTAATATTATAATATCTTTGTAGATACTGAACGGAATTGAAACATATTTGGACTGACATTCCTTTTATTGTAGTTTGCGAGGGATTCAAAATCCTTTAGATGTTTCCAAGATACATTGGTCGATGAGGAAGGTATCGGGGGCCTGTTTCACAAAATTTTAACTAAGATAAAATCCAAATTTTAGTAATTTGATTGGATAATATTAGATTAATTTTAGTGCTTAGCCAATCAAAATTGAAGTATCTACTAAAATTTGAATTTTATCTTTTGTTAAGATTTCGAGAAACAGGGCCCAGTTCATTAACCTAGAGGTCCCTGGTCCGATCCAGTGTTTAATGAGAAAGTTCCTCGGGGTTGTCCCGTCTGGATTACCTTTGTCAGTGATGCAGGTGCGTTATCTGGCGAGAAAAGGCGTCTATTCGTTCGGGCCGGTCGTAAATCCGAGCTGGCAGAGAGAGAGAGAGAGAGAAATGGAGTTTAACGTCTATATACGTAGCGCGTGCCCGTCTTCATCAGCCCGGTTGGTACAGAAAAGTAGGACTTTAAACCCCATTCCATTTAATTAAGAGATTAAAGATGAAATTCGGGGATAGTCTTTTAACTCGAAGTGTACCCACTGACCGACTCTGGCGACCAAACTACTTGAAAACACAACATGTAATTTGAAGTCAGTCAAGAGATTCTAGCGTTTAGAGTCTTTGAAGTATATGTTCTTATTTATGTTAATATACATGTCTTATATCTTATATTCCCGCGGGGGATTTATGATTTAAACTTCTTTAGTTGTATTCTGTAGACGTTAATACATCAAAAATATTCCACGTAAAATATTTAATCTGACGTGTGCCATACATCAAGTCAAAATCTCTGAGGAACAAAGTATTTTAAGCATATTTGTTTATGTGTCTTTGATTTTTTTTAAAGGCTGTTTGCGTGGACATTAAGGTTGTTGCTGTCATGGGTGTACCTTAGTCTGACCTTATACCCATGTTAGATAGCTTACCTTAGTCTAGCGGGTAGCTTCACTCGTTGCATCCGATAGACCTACGATGCACCTCGTCAAATGTAGTGATTGTTACCCTTCGATTGGTCAATTCTGTCAGTCGTTTTAATTTAATACGCCTGGTTAAACGAGACTAGAAGTATTAGTTTCTCCCACAGGGTTGAAATTGGAACTCCTGTGACATCTTTTCAGATGCTTTAAACCCATACTTCATTCCGCAATACGACCCTTCATGTTATTCCAAACGGCAACATTCGGACTACCCCGAAGATTATATCTTATTGCAAGTGACACAAACCGAGAAGAACCGCCGGGGGATTAAGCAGAGTGCGTATTGAGTTAAACTTGGTAGAGCGCTTGGTTGTTGACATTCGAAAACGAGCAGCCGGAAACGTAACATTAGAAATGAAAATTACCATGCACAAATAAGTATCAAATCACCAAAGTACGACTAATCGAATTCCATAAATTTCCTTCCATGAAAAATGGAATGTCTCGTCATCACGATACTTTGGCAATCCAGAGATAAACATATGGCGTAATTTCCTTTCTGGTTACGTGTGAAGGGGAATTTTCCCGGACAATGGCCTTCCGCCCTACTCTTCGATTACCGACCGTTCCGCCACTTCCTGTTTTGAACCACTGAGTGTAAATAACACTGCTAACGCTCTTAAACAAATCGAGAGCGAGAAATGCCATTACCTTAATTATTATCAGTTTTAAGAATTTTATCAAACATATTATTATGCAAGAGCTTAATCTGCCTATTGCGGCCCTTTCTTTAGACCTGAAATGTTATATAAACTATTAACTAGACATTTATTAACAAAACAAGACCATAATCAACACTCGATGCCATCTGATGCTTGGACAGGCGATCCTACTCCTTGTCACCTACAACCAGGGAGTCGAAACCATGCCAGTTGACTCAGTGACAGACCTTATAATACAGCGCGCTCGTGCTAACCATTCGGCCACCCCCTAACCATTCGGCCCCCCCTGCCATAATGTATCTTTAAGGGGTAGTTTATAAGCTAGATTTCTGTTTGGATCCTAACTATATATATATCTGTTTGCTATTTTTCAGGTTATGCGAGATACCAGTCTTGTTTTATGTTAGAAGGAGATGAATCTGAATATTGTTTCCATAAAAACCTTAATACCAGTATACGAATATTATCTAAAATAGACAAAACAACAAACCAACTTTGCACGTAAGTTCTTTAATGACGCGTCTAGCTCCTAATTCAGTTTCGTTTTATTCTATTTTACAATGTAGCGTGAACAAGAAAAAATTAAAACGAAACGAAATTGTAATTTTAATTATATTGGTGATCGACGATTTGTGCTGATTGAAGTTCCCGAATGAAATGTTTGGCAAAAGTTTAATATCTTCAGGTGAACATAGGGCCATACATCCTTACATACCAGTGGTATTGCGAGCGTATCACCCCTGTCCCTTGGGCGGATACCTCAAAATAACAACACTCCTAGTCGTTATGGAATGAAGTGAGGTTAAGAGTTTTAATTATTTTTGCTCCAGCCGGGATAATGAAGACGGACATAGATTGCTGTGAGAGAAAGTTTGGCACAGACATTGGATCTTTAACGTGCCCAATGATACCTCAGTATTTCCTCCCAAAGTAACGAGTAGAAAATTTTGTTTGACAGGCCCTATGTCTATATCAGATTCCGTTGAGAAAGGGGGGGGGGGTGGGCACTCGCTCTCAGTTGATGAAATAGTTTTGCCTGAAAACTGAAGATCTATACTACACTAAATGGCCGAGATCCAACATTCGTTTTGTTTCAAGGAGGTCTCCATTTCACATGGACTCCACAGCTATTTAATAATATGAACCTCAATTTGTACCCCGTGATGCAAGCACTATACGGATTCCGATCCCTGCTCGTGATCGCTTCAATCTTCTCCCATGCGATAAGGCAACCTAGCTTGATATACCATATCGAAGAGCTTTTTAATTGAAGAACTTTGATCTTGGACATCAATATAAAGCTATATCAGTCTAAACGGTATTAAAGACAAAACGTATAATTGCTGCTATAGATCTATTTGTTAATGTTCTAGGGGGCACTTATAATTTCTGCGATAGATCTATTTGTTAATGTTCTAGGGGACACATATGTTCGTTTTATCTCATTGTAGTTGAAACACAAGATTAAATCAACTATATGAACTTTTGACGTTTTTCTGGTTGACTTCACATTTTTTACTGTTGTGTTTTAATCAAAGAATATTGAGTTATGACTGCCTAATGTAATATCTGATGATAATACGATCCTGGTGATTATAGCAACAGGCAATAATTATACAATAAAGGAATAGAGAGGCTGATTCTTTTGGTCTCTCCATTCTCTGTGCTGCGGTGGTTTAAATATGCCCCCGGGGATACAGGGTACAAGACAATGATCTGATGTTAGAAAGTAGTTTGTCATATAAATATACACGATTCAGACTATAAATGGATTTGGTTAATCGATTAGTTAAAATTGGTTCGTGTAAACAGGTCATATCATGATCGAGACACTACACTATTTTAAAGGGGGCGTGGTGGCCTAACGGTAAGGGCACGGACTCTCAACTACAATGTCCAGGTTTCGAATCAAGGTTTGAACTGAGAAGAACCTCTGGATTTGTAAAACCCAATTCGAACTTAGGGTTAGCAAGCATCTGCGGGCCTAATAAGTAAAGAGAGAGAGAGAGAAATGGGGTTTAACGTCCACTCGACACAAACTAGGTCATTTCGGGACTAACATGGTTTTAATTTTATTTACATAATTCACTTGCGCGTAGGGGTCTTTAGCAGTGGGAGGAAACCGGAGGACCCGGAGAAAACCCACAAGGTTGGACAGGCGACCCTACTCCTTGCCACGTACAACCACGCCAGTCGACTCAATGACAGACTGTATGATACAGCGCGCACACGCTAACCATTCAGCCATCCACCCCCCCCCCCCCCTAATAAGTAAAGTTTTTCCTAATCGTTTTGATGGGACTCAAAACAAAGTTTAATCTCAGTAAACGTAAAAGAATATTTGACAGTTAGAAGGCAACAAGAGTAGGCGCCCCCCCCCCCCCTCAGAAAGCATTGCAGACATGACCATAACAAATAACTCTATTTTAGTGTATGAATTAACACTTAAATGCGTTAATTAGTAAGCAAATGACACAGATGATTAAATTGTTCATTTTTATTTTTACTTCCAGGGACATGAAAAAAGTTGTAAAATGTATAACGTATAATATCAATTTAAAATGTGGTCCACGAGCCGCTGAGTTAGTGGAGTTACTGGTTAAACCTATGGTACGTCACAGTGCACAGTGTAATTATCATATAGACACCGAGGTACGTACATATTGAAAGTTTGTTTCCAGCATCTTTATCTTCCCATTGCTCCAGTCAACACGCTTAGCTACCCCATGGGCTATAATGGTCATATTTCCATATTATAATCGAGTCTAAACCTTGTGTCAACAGATTGACAACGCTAATACTTCCGGTGAGGGACCGATCAAATATTGCGTCTGGGTTAGCAAAACGAAATTCTTACCAGGGTAACTAACATAATGCTACAATGGTGGGAGGGTGTGTGGGGTGGAGACTCTATACCCCCTCCCCCCCCCCCGGGTCTCGCAAGTTAAAACATTTACCGTTACTCGCGGCGCTTTATTCTATCTCCTCAACACATACTCCATGTTCCTACAATGACATTTGAAAGAAAATTACGATTCGGAGTCGAGCAACTAATTAAGAACTGATCATACTATTTACGATTCTTCAGATGCTTCTGAGAACACTATAGCTTTAATGGCGTGTGTTAGGAATATCCCGATTTATGTTGCTAGCTTTTGAGCAGTACTATTACTAGCCATCATCCTAGCATTCACTGTATGTCGTACATTGCACCATGGACGCTATTAACTTTATAGGACTATAGTACAGAAATCTAATATTTACTGGTTTGTCACGAGAAAGCTTTTATATAAATCACTTGGCTGTTTGGACGTTATTCCGATTCGCTCTGAAATTGCCTTAGATAAGAGCTACAATCGTTTCTATTTGGAACCGAGCGAATTTGACGGACGTTCTATTAGAATCAAGTGCGCGATAGTCAATATTGGTCTATTGGAGATTAGTTCGGATTGATTAACTGGTAACCTATAAAACGCTACACACGACACCCTTCAATTGTTTTAGTACTACTTGATTACAAGACATCGAGGATGCCAATTTAATTAGAGGCATTCTTGTAGTGGTATTCTAACGCCATAACAAGTATTATTCTCGATTATACACGACTGTTCGCGTTTAGAGGAAATTATCACTTTACTAACCTACTTCTGGATAATCGAAACCAATCAAATATCAAGTCTTCAAAGAGTTGTTTTATTAAATAATCATTTTATTTATTCCTTTTCACTGTAATTGTGGTAAATGTCGGAATAAATTCCAGCTTTGTATTTGCAATGATTTTTTATCACACGGTCTTTCTGGTTAGATCAAAATGGTATTAAGTTTTTTTATATCGCTTTATCCTTATACAAATGAATTGGGAAGACTAGTATTTGCCCAAACCAATTACTCTGATCTTTATATCAAACGTTGACCAAATAATCCATTTTATTTTACGTGTAGCGCGACAACATTCCACAAAACCATCAATCAATTAAATCAAGTCCAATCTCTTCCAGCACGTGCTTCCTTGGTAACGTTATTCGAAACAAGCATGGCGCCATGATTAAGCAATGGGAGAAATAAGACAGGCAAAAAGTCTTATGTTCATTTTGTGCGTTAATGCTACTTTGGACAATTGGGGTATAAACACACAATGCCATCCGCGGACAAGTTCCTTATCATTATTTAAGTAATTGTCGAAAAATCAACACGCAGTAGACGAGACACGTACAACAGAAATCAAATACAGACAAGGTGTCCGTACCATCGGAAATAGGCAGAAGGAAAATACGAATAGATTGTATTTAATACTCGGAAGGCTATTGTTTATAGTGTGGGGGGAATCTCACGGGCGCTTGAATATAAGACAACTTTTGGCAGAACAATGGGAACAAAGTGGGCTAAATGTGGAACTCCGTGATATTATAGTGGAATAGGAAATGAAGTAGAGATTGGAGCGAATGAAGTTTTGTTGGCAAGATGGAATCGATAACAATACACTTGTACAAACCACACGAGACGCGGAAACGTACACCGCCATTTTGTGCCATTTAATCTAGCCTCATTGTCGACAGGAATTCTAGACTCTCTTTACTAGAGTTTGCGCAAATGTCAAGAATTTCTTGGCTTTTATTTTCATTCTTTGAACTTTGGATTAAAATGATTTATTTTTTCCCTGAAATGGCTGCTTGCGATAACAGAGATTTTTTTTACTCCGGACGACATTATATAATGAACCTTTAGCGCAATCGCAATCAGAGTGCGGGATCTCCTACCCTTTTTGACACTAAAAATTGAAACATGTCGGTGCCTAAGGTTTTACGTGGTTTAAATACGCAGCATATTCTACTCGCGTCATAACACATGTGGTTTACGTTTAAATGGATTTTTTCAACGAGTTAAAATAAAGTGCATGAGAAATATTGGTTAAAAACAACAGCGGAAAAATGAAAGAGTAATTGTGAATGAATTTGGTCTACCAGGAAACACATTTTTACGAAGTTTCCCGATTACTAAGTTCTGGTTAAGTATTCTTGCTTACAAATGTTTTATACAATGATTACCATCAGTGGCACGTCAAGGTCTTGTTAAAGGGGAAGTCAGGTTGTTGCATGGATTAAAGGTGTCCAGTTCAGCACGTGCTAGGTTTATACTGTCGATATTTGTTAGAAAATGTCTACAATTTAGAAGTTGCCCTATTCGCTGATTAAGGTCGCCGAATAATATTTTTATTTCTTTGTAATACACGATATAAATTGAAGATTCAGCCATTTTATCAGGAACTGGGCTTAAGCGCTATTCATTTTGATGTTCTCCTTCTTTCGGGGGTGTAGGGTTGGGGGACTCTTCTTTTTATTAAAAAAGTCTAAGGCTCCAATTCAAGTACAATCGCGACGTAACACTTGTTTTTGTATCTACTGACCCAAAAGATCAACCCGTTTTATATAATGACCCAAAATATCAACCCGTTTTATGTAATGACCCAAAAGATCAACCTGTTTGTATATGTAATGACCGAAAGATCAACTCATTTGTATGTAATGACACAGTAGATTAACCCGTTTTACGTAATGTCCTGAAAGATTAACCCATTTGTATGTAATGACCTAAAGGATTAGTCCAATCAGTTGAAATATTGAAAAAAAAGGAATGGGTTTATCATTTGTGCTTGATAACGATAAGAGAATACTTGTCGAAACGTCGACAAACCAGTGATTGTATTTCCATATAAACTGTGTTGTGTTTTTAATGGGTTTAAGGTTACGCCTGCAATGCTAGGAGGGTGGATTTCGCCCCGATAGCTGCATATCCACCTACCCTTCATGGAATTCCATACTGCCAAACGAGATCACGGGCCGTCATTAATTTTTTGTACAATCCGAACGACTAGGGAACACTAGCCAGACCTACAAACAATTTGGAACTGGGCTTGAAACATCCAGGGATTTATGCACCAAACAGTTGAAAGCCGCTTAAAGAGGCCTTTTTATCTTTGACCTTTGCGGGAAATGGGAATTTAGAAAATCCCGCACGCAAAAAAAAAATGAAACCCCGAATATAAAAAAAAAAAAAAAAAAGAGAGAAAAAAATATAGACGGAAACAACGACAGTATATTTAACTAGTGGGAATTCTTTTTTTCAAAACTATGTGCATTAAAAAAAAGAAAACACTTATTATTTTATGATCAGTAGTGGAATACCGCGTTTTATCAGTGAAATAAAAGTGTTATTCTAATGGCTAGAAGCGGACAAAGTAGTCCATGTAAAATCATAAAATAAATAGAACATTTGTCGTTTTGTCGTGAATAACATATTTTATTTCATCTCTAAGCAAGAAAACGTTTATATTTTCACTCATGCTACGCATTCGTGAAAATATAAGTTTTCTTGCTTCTCGATGAAATAAAATATGTTATTCACTCTAAAACGACAAATATCCTCTATTTACATAATGTACAAAATGTAATGTTATTAAAAACTATACAGATTTTAAGAAAAGTATATTGCGTTAATGTGCATATTTTTGAAAAATTTACACACATTAAAAGAATATTACGTAATGTACAAAATTTAATTTTATAATGTGCTAAAATTTGATACTAAGGGACAAAAAAAAAAACAGGTCCCGGGTACACGTAATAGAAACATTGTCAGTTGGAATTCGATATGAAAGTAGGCCGTAGTGCCGCTGTGCGGGCAAAATTTTCCTTTTTGCACAAGGTATGGGGTAGACACAGATCAAAACTATCATGGTGACCATAAACCTGTTGAAATGTAGACTATATAAAATCACACACAGTCAAGGTTGTTTTAAATCTTTGTAAAATGTGAAAGTTCATGTTTAACCAGTTTTTCAATAATTTATCCCCGCAAAGTAGTACCCCACTCAATCCTGAGGCGAATGTTTTGCGTTTATAAAGAAGACTGTGCCATTTCTGCAACTCTGCAATATTCGTGCGTTAAAGGGGGTTGGATGGGTCTAGTGGTTAACGTGTGCGCGTGAAATCACAAGGACTGTCATTGAGTGAAGTGGCGGGGTTTCGATTCCCCGCTTGAACGTGACCAGGAGTAGGGTCGCTTGTCCAACCTCGTGGGTTTTCTCCGGTCGCTCCGGTTTCCCGTCACTGCTAAAGACCCCAAAGCGCAAGCGAATTATGGAAATGAAATTGAACCATATGTTAGTCCCGAAATGACCTAGTTTGTGTCGAGTGGACGTTAAACCCCATTTTTCTCTCTCTGTCTCTCGCTGATGCCTAAAAATAACGAAGTGTCTTTAAAAAATATTTACAAGTCTAAAAACTAACGCTTCCGTGATTGCTGAACCAGTACTGACTCACTGAGCCACCGCGGCCTCCTTATTTTTAAAAATTGAAAACATGCCGTTTCAAAAGATATACCAAATATAGTTAAGGAAAACTGAAAAACTAACACCGACAACAACTTACAGACGAACGAACAAGGGCGACTGTATCAGAATAAATGTGACACTGTTTCTGAATGATAATTCCCATTTAAAATACACGTATTGCTCAATTCTCTGTATGCAGATCTCGTTAAGTTCACAATAATTTGTCTTTCCTGTCAAATAATTCTCTTAAAGAATTCACTTAAGGGAATAGAATATTTTAATCTGCCGTTCTGCACTGAGCAACTTTTCAGACACAATAACAACGCGAATTTATGGCATTACTTGAAACATCGTGCAGAGGTTTTTCTTTTTTTTTTTAATCTGAGATGCATTTCGTGAACCATAAACTTGATAGCTTGAAATTGTTTGTAGCATGTTTTTTCATCGGTTTTCTCCAACTGCTTTAGCCCGCTACACGCAAGCCAATAATTGGAATGAACTTAAACTAGACAGATGTCTAGTCGTTCGGATGGGACAAAAAACCGAGGTCCCGTGTATACATTGGCGTGCACGTAAAAGATCCCTTGGCAGTTGCACAATTTCTCTCATAACACACTGTATGACGTATGCCCGTCTTCATTAGCACAGTCGGCGCAAAACAGTAGGATGTTAAACCCCATTTCATTTCATTTCAATTCATTTGTATTGATGAAACAAATCAATTAATAACAGATGTTTGCGTCTGTTCTTTTTTGGTATATCATTAGTGGGCGTTAACTCTCTCTCTCTCTCTCTCTCTCTCTCTCTCTCTCTGTAGCATATTTTACAGAGGTTTATCTTCTTCTTTTTTTTAATCTGAGCCGCCTTTCATGAACTGTTTTCTTGATAGCTTGAAATTGTTTGTAGCATATTTTAAAGATAGAGTGAAACATATCGGTGAGAAATCTCGATAGACTATGTGAATAATCTCCCAGTCATTTGTCTTCTGTCCTTTTTTATATCCGTTTTATTGGCTCGAAATGGGTTGTATCTTGTTCACTTGTCAATGCAGCAAGATAAAGTTGAATTATGGAAACAGATGCAGGGTGCGTGATAGCATGTTTTTTTTTTTTGTTATATATTTTTCTTTTATAATATAAGCTAACGATATATAAGTTCTTAATTTTATCTTTTCAGACGACATCCAATTTCAAGCGACCGGGTGTGACGAAAGCTATATCAAAACATCATTATATTTCTGACGGAAGTCGAAACAGTGCTCACGTAAATATGACTTCCGGTATCAAAATGGCCTTGTTGACAATTCTCTATTCCTATGTGTTTTTGGTTTTATTTCACTGAGCAGAAGTGTATTTGTGATCGATATGTACACGATCATGTCGTCATATTTCAAAAGCTATTTCCTGATTTCAAAAGGTGCGATATTAAACACGAGCTTTGTGGCTATTTATATTCATTATGATGTTCACTGTGGATGAAAAAAAGACGCCATTATTCAAAATTATAGCATAAAAAGATTTTGAGATAATTTGAATTTATGGTCATAAAAACGATGTTGATTTGTGTATTTCGACGATGTAATTAATGAATCTATCATAATCTTACATCATTAGAGCCTGGTAATTCAAGACTGATTACCCGACTCCATTAAGTTACGTAGATGCTGTTAACACGACTCACAGATTACGCTATCATATTTCATCAGATTTCGAACTGTACATAAAGAATCGTGATCTGTCAGAAAGGATTTCTTTTCTGTTCCTTTTATTTCAAACAATGCTCTTTGTTCAAGCTCTTATTTAATTGTAGAATTGTGTGACAGATCTAATCTGTAATGTTGATTTCCGTGTACGGCATCTGACACGTATCCCCCGTCTGATTAGCATCGTTTGTTATACGAGCCGTAAAGAGCCCAACACCCAAAAGGCCGAATTGTCTTGATATGGGCGAATCATCTATCATTTTATCCCATCTCAATCTGCTCGCGATAATGGCGATAAAATATCATGACGTAACCATTTCCTTATAGCCTTATGGGTAGTTTCTCTTCTCATAAACAGACGCCAGTGTAAAAAATATCTTCAAATGATTTAAGATTTATGTTAGCGCTGATTATTAGAAAGTTCTGTCTGTTTCAAAAGAGATGGGAAAACTCGTGGGTGATTAGATAATCCATTACGTGTAATTCGATCCATTTTCAAGATGGCGTTGAATGAAAAGAATGACGTCTGATGGCGTTAGTTGAATGGACGACAATGGGGACGTTTTCCAAGTGCAGGTGTTTATTTACGAGCCAATTTAATGAGACATTCTTTGTTTAAAATTTCCTTTTAAAAAAAAATGTTGCACTCAAAGTTGGTTGAAATAGAGATTAAATTACTGTTAAAATCGAGAGAGACACTGTCTTAAAGAATGGACAATCACACACCCTGTGAAAGTTTTGAAAGACAGTTAAGTTCGATCTGTGTTTTTCCAAAATAAATTTCAAATTTGCAAGCTTCGTTGAGCGGAAAGAGGGAGGGGGGCGGGGTGGTGGGGTCTAAGAGGAAAGAACGCCTGCACTTGTTAATTTTAAAGAGATATTTTCCAAATAAGATACTTGCTTGCTATCCCTGTTAGGTACCCCTATCTTCATTCCACCGATTCAAGTTCTGTAAGTCGTTTAGGGATATGATTATTGAAAACAAAAAAACACATAAAAAAGTTATTAATGTAACCTTTAAAAATATACTCCAGTGTCAACCATTGTTTAAGGGTTAAACTTTTTAAAAATTTTAGAGTCTGAAATTATGAGGATTTGGCGTAAAATAAACTTAAGAAGTCTGGGCCCTTCAGTTCAAAAGAGGCTCTACAGGCCTTGGTGTAATCTGGGGATCATTGTGTATCCATAGTTTCTGTTAAGATTGTCAAGTCTGTTTTGATCATCGGGACTGATCGCGTATCTGTAAGGGGTAAATGGGGTTTGTGGGGTATTATTTACTACCTTCTTAAAATTAAAATGTGCATTTTGTGATATTAAATTTACAATATCCCACAGAAGAAAGGATTGTATTGTATATAGCCATGCTTTAAAATGAGGGAATATGTTAGTTGTCTGTCCTTGGTAATGAGCTTCGTCGCAGCGCCATTTTGTGGGAAGGTAACTCCAGGTCTAGGCATTGACAATCGCAACATGGACATGCACTAGATTCTTTACACGGGATTGTGGAAAGGACGAGGGGCCCGACTAAGACAACAGGACGCAGGTCCACCGGGCTAGGCCTTTTGTTGTAGACAATAGGACGAATGTCCACCAATCTATGCCTTCTGTAGTAAACAACAGGACAAATGTCCACCAATCTAGGGCTTCTGTAGTAGAGAAAGGGCAGACAACAGATTATTTTCCTTTGTTTACTGTATATATATTTATCATTTTGTTATATAATTATGAAACCATTGTAATTTTGAGGATAATATTGTTATTATCGATATTTAATATTATATGGAGACTGTGTTGCCTTTTATATCAACATCCATGCGTTATTTGAGAAATTGTACTGTAATGCTTGATTGTATCTAATTTACCGTTAATTGTGGAATTATAATTAATGCACATCGAAGCTTACTTGGCGTTGGCCGAGGTTTAGAAATTATTCATTCTTTTGAAACAGTAGTCACCAAACATTTTTTTTTTAATCACAGCCCAAGTAAAAATATTTTGGCGCACGGTCACACTGGTGAACCACGGCGCACGTAATTACATCTCTTGGCAAACGGTCACACCAGCGCACTGTGACGCACGTAATTCCATCTTGTGGCACAAGATCATGCCAGTGCACTGTGACGCACGTAATTCCATCTTGTGACACACGATCATGCCAGTGCACTGTGATGCACGTAATTCCATTCCTGTGGCACACGATCATGCCAGTGCACCATGGCGCACGTAATTCTATCTCGTTGCTCACGGTCGCATCAATGCGCTGTGTTGCACATAATTACATCTCGTGGCACAACAGTGCACTACGACGCACGTAATTACACCACTCGGCACACGGTCACGCCAGTGCACCGCGACGCACGTAATTACATCTCGTGGCTCACCAGTGTACGACGACACACGTAATCTCGCGACACACCAGTGCACCGTGACGCACAGTTTAGGATCCACTATTTTGAAATGATATATTTTTTTTTAGCTCTGTTACACATGTGACTTTCCGACATGACTCATTAGTATATGTAATGCGACCGATAATCAAAATAATTATCTCCCTTTGACATGTAAGCCTACTTATATATATATGTGTGTATTTAATTGAAATCTACAGGCCTTTTTTTCTATTGTCAATCATATTACACATTACATTACTTCTTGTATTACATTCAAAGGGATTATATATATACATGTACGTATTAAAATATATATGAGATTAATATTATAATCGGTGTGAATTTATGTATTTTGTATATCGCTCACGAAATGAATCACCGATAATTGTCTGATGATAGTTCACCTTGAACGTAACCGGATGTACGTTTGGCAACACTGTTGATCACGTGACTATTGGTGGCCATTTGCTCATTGGTAATATTTTGCACGGTAGCTGCGACTCCAGTAATGTCCTATAAGTAAACATAACATAATTCAATTGAATACAAATACTGTTTATTACTGGGTAACGTTTCAACTAGGCTTCTGTAGTCTTTATCAAGCAGCCCCTAAGCTATAAAATATGATGGGGTGGCCTAAACGCATGTTGTTCAGTAATACACGGAAATAGATTTTAGTTCAATTACTAAATGTCATTGGGGCAATATGTCCAAAAAGTAGTGGCGTGCTCCGGGCAGGTTATCCCAACCCTACTTAGCAGCAATGTTGGCGTAGTTTCGTATTTTGAATAAAGTTAAAAGAGCCGAATTAATGATCGTAGCCTCTGCCTTCAAGACGCTTTGTCTTAGTGAAATTGCCATTCTGTAAACTGTCTGTTTGTGTTTCCAGTCATGTAAGTTAGAGGAGACGGTGAACTGTTTTTTGTAAATTCTATTTATAACATTGTATATTGTACATAAACTCAATAAATTTGATGGTTTAATTTTTGATTGAATGTGTGTTAGTTTTCTATAATTCTGGCTGCAGTCAAAAGGGCGAAGGTGTCTTATTCGCGATAACGAAAACTAGTTTTACAGTATTAGCGTTCATCAAATCGTGATTTTAACTTACAATCTTGAATCAGGCACCTTGGCCCAGGAGAATTTTTGAAAGATCGTAGGGAGGGGACGGGGTGTCCTAATGTTATGATTGAGTTAAGGTATTTCCACAAAGCTTTATATAAACGATATTTCGTCCTGTTTTATGCACTGGATCGTTTAGTGACTTGCCCGGAAACAGATCTCCGACACAGAAAAATCTTACTGTGAAATAACCTCAGTCACTTTCTGAAAAACAAAACCCAACGACTTATGTCTGTATGATCGTCGACGGAGTCGTATGATCTAGACACAATGACAAACGTGGACTGACTTGGCCTTTTACAACTGTCTCAGTGAGTAGGGGGAGAAAGACAAACTAGGTCATTTCGGGACTAACATATGGTTCAATTTAAAGGGACAATAACACTCTAGCTGGCTTAAAAGATCCAGAAAATAAATAATATCTCTAAGTACTAGATGTTTAAGTGTCCTACCTGTTGTGTCAATTATCCATTACATCCTATTTTACTTGTCCAGAGGGTTGGAAAATATTTTTAAATCGAAGTTTCATTTACGTTAGACGTTTCAAACCATTATGTTGAACTTTTCAGAATTTTTAAGTAAGATGTGTTAAAATGAAATTTGTATCATCAATTAATTGAAATATTCTAAAATAGTACAATTTGTTGACCAGAATAAAGATTGGGACATATTATTCAGTTACAACAAGAGTGGTATTGAGCCTTTAAGGGGTCTTTAGCAGCCGGAGGACCCGGAGAAAACCCACGAGGCTGGACAGGCGACCCTACTTCTTGTCACGTACAACCGGAGAATCTTTTGATACAACGTGCACGCACTAACCATTCGACCCCCCCCCCCGCCTCAATGCGTAGGACGTTTGTTCGCAAACCTGGAGGTCCCGTGTTCGATCCCTGCGTTGGGATTTTCCGGCGTGGCTCCCCCTTGTTAGTGGTGTAGGATGGGGGGGCCTGGCAAGGGACAATGTATAGTCGTTCGGATGGGACAAAAAACCGAGGCCCCGTGTACACATTGACGTGCACGTAAAATAACCCTTACAGTTGGAGCTGGAAATAAAAGTATGCCATAGCGCCGCTGTCCGGACAAAATTTCCCTCATAGCACACTGTATGGCGTATACCCGTCTTCATTATCCTAGTAGGAGAAGAACAGTAGGACGTTAAACCCCATTTCATTTCACAAATAGAAATTTAATGTAGTCTTAAAATGGTCCTGGGATAAGTGTTCGTATAGCTGATATTCGGTTCTGCTCAATAATACTGTTGAATTCTAAGAATCATAAGAACCCTCCAATCGGAAATTTATAGCTGGATGACATTCGGCTGAACTCAATAATCCTGTTGATTTCTGGATAAACCCGAAAATCTATCGCATTAAGCCCGATAATAATCGTCTGTTCCACGGCCGTGGTTTAGACGTAACTCATCCTTAATTCATTTCTTAATGAAAAAAAAATCTTTAATATTCGTCTTCTATTCTAAACAGATTTTATTGTAGTTATTATGCAACTGTCGAGTATTATAACATATCTCGAATTAAAAGCGAAATTGGTACATTTCATAACTGTCAGAAAATGAGCTGATAGCATCGCTAAATTCTGATTAATTTAACTAGCAAACCCAAAATTCCTAACTTGTCATCTATCATTAGATTTGAAATATTTGTCTAGACCCCGCAAAGTTTATTTCCTACCCTCAAAATCTACAAATAAAATCAACTTAGCATCATTTCGTCGATTCTTTTTCACAAATGGTCGTCTTTTCCTGTTTTTCTCGAATCGTTATATCATTACTTCTGGTAATTGGTTTTTGTTGGGATTTTTATCGCACCAAGTTTATGGCATGTATATGATCTTAGATGAGCTTTAGTTTGGGTCGGGATAACATTTTTGGATCAATTATTACTTCATACAGATTTGTCAGATAACCGAGAGAGAGAGAGAGAGAGAGAGAGAGAGAGAGATAAGGCCCTCGACAAAGCTTTGTCATTTCGGGACTAACGTATATGATATAATTTTGTTTCAATAGTGCGCTTGCGCGTAGGGGTCTTTAATACCGAGAGGAAACATAGAAACCCGACGGTTGGGCAGGTGACCCCACTCGTTGTCATGTACAAGTTCGAGAACGGAGCCACGTCACTTGAAACAAAGGCAGATATTATGATCTAAAGCGTACGCACTAGACCCTTTGTCAAATAGACCCCACCCCCAACCACGTTAAAGTTGTTTGACTTCCATGATTTGGGTCAAATTAAGGTAATGATTAGGTCAAGATAAGGTATTGTTTAGGGTTAATCTAATGTATTATATCAGGGGATAAGTGAAGGGAGCGCATTGGCGCGCATTGTACCATAGATTTTGCGCTCCCTATCAAATGGAGGGAAAAAACACGTGGTTTGAGCAATGTATTTTTCAACCCACAAGAGTTGGAAGTGTTTGCTATTAGCATAATGCCAACACCTTTTTTTTCTGATGAGAATAGTTACAGGACCACAGCAGTTATCGGTATTTAATTAAATAATTGAGCATTTGTTAACTTTTTGCCCAATTTTTATCTCAGCGGCCAGATTGCATATCAAAGGAATGGACACACAGTAAAGCCCCTGTGCTTTTTAATTAACCGATGTTGATTTTTGTATCACTTGTGGTATTTACCCAATTGCTCGTTTCCCATTCTATTTATACTATTACGCAAATTATCAACTCAGGATACCGGAAGTGCCACCATATTTGATTGGCTTGCATGCTGTGGTTCTAACGAGAACAATGAATGCTGACGACCTTTAGTGTTATTATTTTCCTTATATCACCCATCTGATCCCTTATTCTATAAAGTTAATAACAAATTGAAGACATATCATTTTTTATAATTCGAGTCATATCGTATCTTATCTAGTGATTTTCACACCAATATCCATTATCAGCTGTCATTGTTTGGTTCTGTTTAAATTACAGCCATTCCAGATAATTATTTAGAATTGTTTATATATAATTCAGTAAGAAAATGTCATCGCTAGAAATTACACCTTGACTCTTGGGGCTATAGATTTGTATGTACATGTATATGTAATAACTTGAAATATTATAGGTACCAACAGTCAAAGCCTGTCAGAAACAAAATCCAGAGAGAGAGAGAGAGAGAGAAGAGAGAGAGAGAGAGTAACGTCCACTCGAGGTTGGACAGGCGACACTACTCTTTACCGCAGTTGACTTAAAGATACATTATGGGAGATAAGATAAAGAGATGGCAGTTCTCGCTATAATAGTTAAAAACTAGATAGTGTAAAGTTAATTTGCTGATAAGTCTCGATTATCCACTTTTATTGATTTAATTATCAATAGCCGTTAGCGGCATCTAGGAATCTAATCCAGCCAACATCGAAGGCTAGCCTTGACATCGAGAGTTTATTATGGTCTGGATAAGTTAATTAATGTCTAATTGATAATTTAGATAACATTTCAGGCCTAAAGAAAGACTTGTAAGAAGCAGATTTTGCTCTTGCATAATGCATGTTTAAGTAACATTTATATAAATTATTAACTATAATTCAACGATACGCGAGGAGTAGCACCAAGACAACTTTGTACGTGATACATTATATCATTTCTAGAATAAAAAGAAATAAAGCGGGAATAATAAAAATAGTTTATTTTCACGTGTAAATACAGATAACACAATTCCACGGGAATAAAGAAACAGTCTATCATTATTTTAAACCATTACACTGGTTTGTTTGTTCTGTGTGTATCGTTAAAGATAGATACTGAAACCGATTTGTTTAGACGGTTAGGATATATATCAGTTTGATACGCGACTTATATTAACTTCATTGTTGATGATTAACATAAAGATAAAGATGAATTATTTGCCACGCCTGTTTCTTATTTGATTGACAGGTTGACTGACACATCTTATCGTGAAATCAAATCCTATCAACGTTTCAGATATATTGCACATTTCATATTTAGCGATAATAGGTATATTAGACGTAGGGCTGTCAAGAGTTGTATCCAATTGTACTGCAAAATATTTCTTTTCTTGGGATAAATACGATAATGTTCGTGCAAGTAAGTACGTGTTTCAGCTATAGGCTTCGCCAGGCTAACTAAACTCGATCGGCCATTCGCAAAATTCGGTTTTTCTGACAACTTGCGAGAGAATAGCAGTTTTTATTTATTGATAATAGCCTTCGACGAAAGATAAAACAGTTCCTCAACCCACAAAGGACCACGTACGCCCATGTTAGAGATCCAGGGATCATGAAATCTGAAACATTCTCATTTTTTTTCTGGGTCAACATGCAGTCAATTCATTAACTCCCTGCAGTTTTCAATGTATAAATTTGAATATTTAAATGGGAACAAAACAATTACCCTTTCTCAATTAACAAATCACTGACAAGATCTCCTACTCAAAATTATGAACGATATTATATAGAACTCTGGAGGGAACGGAGACGTGTTGTTTTGTTCCACAAAGACAAAGTTTGGCGATAAATAAAATATGATAATTCACCGTGTATTTATTAACTGTCGAGGTTTTAATTATTGTTTTATGCAATCTCGGATATCGGATACAGCAAACATTTTCACCTTTGGTTGTCCAGTAATTAAGACGAAGTGTCGTGTCATCACCGTTTCCGATATTTAATTATGGCAATCGTTATTGTGTAATTCTTTTGTAACATAAATGACAAGATTTTTAAAATATTTCGCGACGAACTCGAAACTTGATCACCTTATCGTCTTGCAGTTTCTTGCGATTAATCGCCTATAATGGTCCACGTTCAGGGATCACACCAAACCATTTCTGTTAAACACAGACGGATAATAGTCACGTGGGACTTGGATCGCACCTCGCAGACGCCATTAAT